TTGCCCATCTAATATTTTTTATTCTTGCTTGGCTTTTGTTATAAGATAAATATTGATCCTTTGTTGAACTTCTTACATATACCATAGCCATGGTTAAGGCTTATAGTAAGTTGGACTTGGTTATGTATTGGTGGATGTTGCTCGAATTAGAGAATTTTTATCTTTGTTGTTGTTCAGCTTTTGTGTAATCTCTCTGTTATAATTTTTTTGGTATTTGCTTGTTTGTTAATTCCTTTTGTTTTAAGGATGCAATGGTTTTTTTAGTTGATTCTTTGGATTCTGAATGCCCTCATGGATTGTGTGGGTTATTAGCTATTTTCCTTTGGCGATATATAGTTTTTGATGTTGTTTAGTTAGTAACAATTCTATCTTGAACCTTTCTTAAATTTCTTCATATATTGTATCGGTAGTTGAGGATTACATTAGTTTTTGTTGATTGTTTTTTTTGGGTTTTTTGTATTTTAGGAAATGGTAGAGTTATATGATAGAAAGGTGAATGATGAGGCGATTTTCAATTTCATTGTGTTATAAAAATTGGTTGCATTGTGTTTATTATGGCATATATTCACATGATGGAGACTTATTTGATGGAAAAAGTTATTTAATGAATATGATATACAATAATGACATATTCACTTGCATTTGTTCCTAAAGATGGTCGCTTCATGTTTAGTAACACATTATATACCATGATTATTAACACAATAATGACATATATACCCATGCTTCAATCTAAACCATGATTAAGATCTAATCTCTTGTATAGGGCTTGACCACCTAAGCCCCTATGTTGGCTACCTGGTCAAGCAATCTTGGGAGTGACCCAAACCCATTCCCATGAGCCAAACCAAAGTCAAACCCAAAAGTCACCCAAAGCTTATTCCATTTAAATCAAACCCTTGGACACTTGTCAACACACAATTGACTTCACAACTCTCCACTTCTAAGCTCCCATAGGTGGATGGTGACCACCCATTGCCCGACCGACCACCTTGGCTGCCATAAAATCCAAACCCGAGAGGCCACTCATGGACAAACCCAAAATTAAACCCCTCCAATGTTACTCACCCTTATTGAAACTTGACCAATGTCTTCCCTCAACATAAGCACCTTTTTCCACCCACTAGCCATCCCAATTAAACCCTATTTCTTGGCCTATAAATACATCACCCCCTCACGGCCAATGGGGAGAAGCACACAAAGCGTTGGGAAAACTCTGTCAAAATCATTCCAAACTTCCATTACACTAACACATTACACTCACACGAAGCTCATCCCAATAATTTTTAGCCCATCTTCCCAACTGAGAAACCCTAATTTTAAAGCTCAAAACTAGGGGTTTTTTTGGCCATTCCACCAAACTCCACAAAACTCTAAATTAATCTTTTCAAAAGCTTCCATATAGCCTAATATCATTAATCGAAAGCCCATTTTTTCTCGAGCCCTCTACCATAGCCCTAGACCACATCCTATCCACCATTTGGTCTAAATCATATCTTTACCCATCCATAGAGTAAATCAACCCTTGGAGCAGGTTCGTGCAACCGAAGTAAAGCTTCTCAACCCATCCAGCTGAGGCCTCACCTCTTGGACAATGATATAGTTTGAAAGCTATAATTTTTGCCTCAATTTGGTTTTTTATGAATGGAATGAACAATTCATGTCCACCTAGCTATATAGGTGTGTTCGTCTCACTTAGATGAAGATGTAGGAACAAACCACATGCAATCCGGTTAAGTATCGAGTGAGTTTTTAACATTTGAGTGTGGACTGTTCTTGGGTTAGGGCTCATTTGGGACAATTAACGGATGTTTTTCATTTGTGTGTATTTAAATCAAGTAGTGCATATATGGAAAGATGGAACATGAATATTGGGCTGATGTGGCAACCGACATAGAAAGCACAGTGAATGAGAGTGTGTCGCACAAAGCTTCGATAGGTCTGATGATCTAGTCTACGCCACATGGTTAAGTGGATAAATAGGTGTAATTTGATTTAATTAAATCTAGAGAAATAAATATAAATTTTAAAAATCATATCTTGGTGTAAAAAATAAAACAATAAAAGAAAAATACCTTTGTGCTCAGTAAACAGAGGAGAATTATTAAAACTAAAATTAAAAATAATTATATATGTTACGATTTTTAATTATTTACTTACTATAATATTTATTTAATTCATAATTAATTAAATATTTATCCTTATTGCTTTAAATTTTTAGGGTTAGTTAGTCATGTTGTTAGGAATGTTCTCTAATTTTTCTAAGGTCAGAGAAAATCCTTAACCCTAAGAGCCTTAACTATTTGGGTTAATCATCTCTGTTTTAATTAAAAAATTTTAAAACTAAAATATACATTAGAAAATTATAAAATCAAGTTTAATGAATTCACTAAAGTTAGAGGGACCTATGAAAATAAAAATAGGTTTTAAAATTAAAACATATTTTTTTAATATTTTCCTACTTTAAAATCATTTAAAAATTATAAAAATATAAATATGATTCAAATTATCACAAAAATCTACCTAATTAAAGGAAACAACCCTAAG